GAGTTCTTGTACCTTGTATATAGTAGATGCTTGTATAGGTGTATTTAGTCTTTGTATTTGTAAGACAAATTTTCTTTTCACATAGGTCATACTCTTAGGATTTTAGGGTATGTTACTTCAAGTCAAGCACGCTTAACTGTGGAGTTCTGATGAGATAAGCTACCGAAAAACAGATGCATGTTGTTAGTATAGGTAGTACAAATTAATTCATTTAAGTCATCCTCAACTATACAATCTCATACTTATACTATCTTTGGATCCCTCTCATTTTGGTGTGTCTGGACCGTTATAAATATATAATAATATATATAATGATATTATTACTAATAATAAAAATTATATTATATTTAAATAATCTTTAATTATATATATTTACTTTTATAATTAACAATCTACTTATTTCTATTTAAAATTAATATTATGATACAATTTAAATTATTTATTATAAATTTAAAAGTTTAAATAATAATTTATATATTTTAAAATGAGAAGGGCTATAATAACACTGGTGCAACTTTTACTAAGTATTACACCACTCAATAATTTTATATTAAATGTGAATTTTATAAATCCAACGTTTAGATTGAAAGTTCATATCACCGTGAAGACAAAGAAAAGCTTTAAGAATCATTCGAATATGAGTAAAGAGAAAGCACAACATAGAAGTTAAGATAAGCAAAGCAAGTATAAGGATGAAGTCTAATCCAAGCTGTCGAAGATACGAAAATAAGGCATTTACAAGTTCAAGATTAAATTATCAAGAAAAAGGCCAAAACAAGGTTAAATCTAGAACAAGGCATAAATGGGCTAAGCATACATGAAGTCTGCACGAGCACTAGATGAATTCAAATGGTCAAACAGACGAGGATGAGTCAAAGCAAGGCACACCATAAGGATCAAACAAACTAAGTCATATGAATAAATAAAGTATGACATGTGTGCCAGACAACTGTGAACCAAATGTTAGATGAGGATGTGTCAAGGACAACCTTAATTGCAATCTAATAAATTAGACGAAGCACTAGTCAAAGAATAGAAGGAAGTCAACTATGTGTTAGACAAATGACAGTGCAGATTGAAAGGAACTCTAGACGGGAACAAAATCTTTCCACCTACAAGTTGACCAGACCTAGAGAAGAGTCAAAACATTAAGTCAAAAGCTTAGACGAAGGTCAAGTTTTGAGATGCATAGGACTAACAGACAAAGATGAAAACTATCATGAAAGCATTTAAGGAATTATGTCTTCAAGGACAAGTTAGGCATCGTCTACGATCATAAAACCTCTCAAAGTGATTGCGCAAGTAAAAGTTAAAAAGAAGAAAGAGAAAGTCAAGTGCAGAAGTAAAAGCATGCATGTGTCAGAAAAAGTACATTACTTTTTCAGAGAAAGATAGTTCAATAACTACGAGACTAGAAAAAGGACAAAAAAGGTTCCTTGGTCTATGCTAAATCAGAAACTGCTGCTAACAAGGCAAAGAAGACTTCACGCAATGTCTATGAATAGGAAGCAACATTTAATGCAAAATCTTTAGCATTAAATGAAAGATCAAACTAGTCATGAACGACTATATCTGCTTCAACGGACACTTGCAATGGGCAGATTCTACGAGCCTATAAATATATCACTACTTTAAACTTAAAGAAGGCTTTTGGCCTTGGGATTTTGGTTTTAGGCGAAGAGTAATATCAAGCCCAAGAAACAGAGAGATCAAAGATGAGCATTCATAGTCAAATGTACAATTTATCATTGTATTTATCTCTGTAAACAAAGGTGTTCTAAATGTAATGTAGGAACATGAACCTTAGTGAGTGTTGAAAACCTCTGTATCCTCTTTATGAGAGTAACCCAAACACTCAACCTCAAATCTCTGTAAAACTAAGGTCACATACCTTAGTGAGTGTAGAAACTTTTGTATCCTCTCTGAGAGAGTTATGTACACACTCAAACCAAGACCATCATTTGTAATCTAAAAAGCCTAAAGAGGCTAGGAAAATAATATTTGTAAAGACCAGAGGGGCTTCTCAAAGAATACTCACTACTAGCCAGAAGTGGTTGATAAGAAAATACTAGCGTTGGTTAGTGAAGCCGACGGGCCAGGAGTACACTACTCGATAGGGTGGTCTTGTTCCATGACTCCTAGACTATTATGTATTCTTTATGATGAAGAGGAGATTAGTACCACTAGCATATAGAGTTAGAATTATTCATTGCACCGATTTTAATTTGGTTGCTAAAATTATTATAAATAATAATTATTTTTTATTTTTTTAGCGACTGTTATTAATTTGGTCGCTAAAATTATTATAAATAATATATATTTTTTTATTTTTTTAACGACCAAAGCTGTTCCGTCGCTATTTTAACCAGTAATTATTATTTTAGCGACCGAGTTAGCGATCGATTATTGGCCACTAAAAAATTCGGTCGCTAAATAAAATTTGCAACCAAATCAGATTCGGTCGCTAATTATGTCGCTATTAGCGACGAAATAAAATCCATCACTAATTTCGGTGGCTAAATTGACTTTTTCTTGTAGTATCCCTGAAGTGACCAATAACATATTTGAAAGTGACTAATTAAGACAGTTATGCAATATCAACCGGATTTAATGTGATATTTTCACTAATAAGGATATCAATAAATAGATTTTATGTAATAATGTTTAATAAATTTCTTAACAAAATTTGAATATGAGGATTAAAATAAGATTTTTTGAAATTATAAGGACTAAAAATAACAATTTTAAATTTGAAGGACAAAAAAAAATTTACCCTAAATTTGAGGGACTAAAAATATATTTAAGACCATATTTATCACACTAAAAAAATTCTTCCTTAATTTTTTTTAGAAGCTGATGGAACTACTTGGTGAAGATTGTTGTTCATCCAAACTTCCATGCAAAAATTTATAGTACTTGAAAAGGTGGGACCAGTAGCTTACAAACTATAGCTGCCAAACGCATCACAGATTCATAACGTATTTCATGTATCTCAGTTGAAGAATCATATTAGGGATGTTGTCATTTCAATAGTGCTACCAAGCCATATTACTTATGCAACCAACGCAAGGGAACCTGAGTTAAGACGATTTTAACCTCACTTATGTTCATTTGAATAAACCCTAAACCTGTATAAGTATTTGTTTGTGATAATGAGCACTTGAATATCAATTGGAACGAGCATTATATATTGTCATAGAAAGCACTCATTTGTCTTGCCAAGTTACTATCATTTTAGTTTTGACACCGTTTTTTTCTTAAAATGGAGAGTTATGATTTGTGTTCTTATAAATTTAACAAATACTAATACATCCTTGAATATTGGTTTGTTAACACTCAACATTATTTGTTATGTTGTTATTATAGTCTTTGACAATTTGTTGTTATCACTTGACTTGCTGTAATAAGATTCATCGACTATAATTAAAGGTTGTAATGATTTTCGCATATGCATGACTGAAAGTGTAAAATAATCCTCAAAAAATTATTTACATTGTCATCATAACTATCTTTTTACTACAAGAAAAAAGGTTATTTGTAGCGATAAATGAGTTATTGGTAAAGATAAATATTTGGAAGAAACATTTTAATTTTGTTATGATAAGATAGTTTTTTATGTCAAACATTTGTTTCTAAAAGAGGGAGGATAAACATATTTAACACTTCAAATGATATAAATATGAGGGAAAATAACGATTCTATTATTAGAAAAGCATCATTTATTTCGAAACTTTATCAAGTTATACATAGCACGCTAAAGCAATTTTCTACTTTATATTTAATTTGTACCAAATTTAAATCTTTAATTAATCTCTTTTCTATCTTTACCCTTAATTATAATTATATCAATAAACTCCTTAAAGTTGGTCAACTGTAAACCTCCAAAATTGTGCAAGAGAGCGTTAAATCCATATGTCAAAGGAAAATACAAATAAATTATCATTAAGGATCAAATATGTTTTTAGTTCTTATAATAAACTAATTTTTATTTTATTTTTGTATAATTTATTATCATCTTTTTAACACTAGGTTTTATCTTTTATGCATAATTTTATGTATATGATGACTAACATGTGTTGTTTTAAGTTGTTATGTTATGTTTTAGTTGTTATATAAAATTCTAAGGGTTAAAGAATCCTTAAGATTTGAGTTTTTTAGAGTTGTCTAAGTTGGGGTCAAAGGGATCACTAATGATGGGTGTTCCCTACACTACTCGATAGGGTGGTCTTGTTCCATGACTCCTAGACTATTATGTATTCTTTATGATGAAGAGGAGATTAGTACCACTAGCATATAGAGTTAGAATTATTCATTGCACGAGTTTTCATTTTGTAATTGATATGTGTTGTGTCAATTGTTGGTCATGAATAAGGAATGAATGTATAAAAATGTGTCAATTGTGTGTTAAACGTTATTGATGTTTATAGATGTATATGTCTACCTTAATGTCTTATCCTAAACTAAACTAAAATAAACTAAATTATTTTTTAATAGTTGAAACCAAACTATTATTTTTTAGTGTAGTTTATAAAGTTAAACTATTAAAATTAATAGTTCAGTTCACTAAAACTAAATACAAGCACTGATTCACGGAGACTACCATACTACCAGTTCGGCACTGATTCACGGAGGCTACCAGACTACCAGTTGGTCGTTCGGACTCGCGGAGAAGTAGGTGGGTCTTCCAATTTTGCTTCAATCTTCACTTTTCAATAATGGTTCTTCACTTCTTCTAATTCTTCTTCACTTCTTTCGATTGTTCTTTTACTGGGTTTCACTAAATTTTCACTTTTACTGGGTTGTTTGATTTTGACTGAACTATTGGGTGTTTCTGTTCAATTTGGGTTTGCTCTGCATAAGTAAAGAAAATATTTTTGTTGCTTGTACTCCATGTGTTTGATAATTTGTAAACAAACTATTTTCTGAACTATTGCTTTTGAAAAGAAAAAAAAGCCACTAATTAAATTCTTTACCGAAATCAAAAGCCGGGGTTTCGTGTATCTGAAACTTGTTATCTAGTTTTGGTGGTACAAAAAACTATAATTGGCTAAACCAATAGCTATTACTCTACATTCCAAAGTGCTGCTGCACATTTAAATGATGCATATGCTTCTTGATCAATACTTCCGCAGCTATTGCCTGATCGCCTATTCAATTATCGCTTTATAATTTTCATTCTTGAATACTGGCTCCGATTTATAGGCACAACACAAGTTTTCATATTGAATTTTCAGCAGACAGAATTTGGATTATTAAACGAAAAATGAGTTCAGCACATAATGGTAAGTGCTAAGTGGTATGCAATCTTCAATAAAATTATTCATAGAATTGGTTTACATACAGCAATCTTCAATGCAGAAATAGTAATGATAAAGAATTTGTTGATTCAATCAGCAATGCAGAGTTCAAGAAGTGTCTTCATTGCTTGCTTTTTCACAACCTTGCCAAACACATCTCTTGCCATCTTGAAAAGCTTCTCCCTCTCCAAACCTGCACCACTACTTTTCTTCATCTCCTCCATCAGCATCTTAAGCAACCTGTGATCCCCTCCCACCACATCACTGATGCTATCAACCACAGCCTCCACTGAGGGAATCCTCCTTCCCCACCTCTTCATGGCCCTCTCAGACCTATAAGCCTCACAATATGCTTCCCAAAATGAAGCCCTCAAGTACCCTTTCTCCTTCCCCCTAACCTTCCACCTCTTCATTTGCTCCTCCAACTTGTACACCACACCCCCCACATCCATCCCTCTCTCAAGACCAATCTCAATCTCTCTTATCTCCACTTTGGAGAACACTTCCCCCTCAAACCTACACCTCTTGCACTTGCAATGAATCCCCCAATTTATCCCCATCTCCCTTCTCTTGCTCAAACCACACAAAGGGTCAAGATATGCAAAAGTGACCTCCTCACCAGCCTTCAAATCCTTGGAAGCATGAACCACCAAGTAGTCCCCAACATGCAACCTCCTTGCATTGGGACAACAAGAGTGGTTTATGAAGGAAGGTAGCAACCACAACCCCACACCATAACAATCATTCCCCCTCCTCAACACATTGGCTGAAACAGCATCCTCAGTGAGAGAATTAACATCCAAAACACCAACCAACTCAACCATGTCAACACCAACTTCAACTTCATCCTTCTCCACACACTCAGGCCTAAAGACACCAACATCAGGCACCTCAAGCTCATCCTCGTTCTCCCCACACGACAACAAACCCACCAAACCCCTTGTCCTGGCACACTTGCCAACACACTCAGAAACCTTGTGGATGAAATTCTTCCACATCGCCAACTGTGCATCCTCGCCCAAATCCTGAACCCCTCCCACTATGATACTCCTCTCCATGGCAATCGCCTTGGTCACCAAAATCACCGACCCAGAATCAACATTCTTGGTCACAAACAACCCTCTTCCACTAACCTCAGATTTCCTAATCTCCACCGCACCAACATGCTCCGCGAGCTCTGGAACCCTCCCGCGAAACCCATTCGCGACCCAATCCGAGAGATCCAAACACCCCGTCCGCGACAAAAGCTCCAAACTTTTGCACCGTTCCAAGTACCCATTAACGTTCTCGTTGGCCCCATCAAGCGTGGCGGAGCGGAAGCACTCCAGGGCGGAGGAGTAGCGGTTGAGGCTGAGCAAGATCTTGCCTTTGCACAAAAGGGTCTTTGAATGCGTGGCGTCGAGCTCCAAAGCGTGGTCGCAGTCTCCAAGGGCGAGATTGAAGTACTTGAGCTTCGACCTCGCTTCGGCGCGGTTGCAGAGAGCTATGCAGAGGGATTTGCGAAGCTTTGGGTTTGGATGAGAGTGGGAAAGGGTTTGGGTTATGAAGTGGGAATAGGCTTCGATTGAAGCGTTCCATTCTTCTCTCAGGAAAAGCTCTGTGGCTTTGGATCTGAGTTCTTGTAAGTGTTCTTCTTCTTCTGCCATTTCTAACTCTCGCTTTTCTTTTTCTTTTTTTCTGGGACTACGCTACACTGCACTACATCTACACTTGCACTCTCTTTTCAAATGGAGATAGAATTTCAAATATTTTTCATTTTCCTCCGGTGTAACGGTCACATTCTTTAACGTTTATTTTTTCGTGTTTGAGAAATGAAACCGCTCTTCTCGTAGGTATTAAAT